ATATATAAATAATACATTTAAGATTCTACCAAACATATATATATATATATATATATATATATATATATGTGTGTGTAAATAGCAATGATAGTTTCATTTTATCTATTTATCTATCTTAAAATATTTTTAGTTATAATAATAAATAAGTCATAACAGAAAATGATCTTTCAAAAAGTTGAATTATAGAAATTTTCTCCTCATCGCTAAGCTATATATATGAGAGGACAAGAGCTTAAGTTCCAAACTAAATCAGGATGCTGCTAAAGAAGCGAATGTTCACAAATTTTGTCTGAACAATTATTATCATCAGTTTCATATCATCTATTTATTTATCTTAAAATATTTTAAATTACAGTGAATAAATTATTTCTTTTATATCATATATATAAAAGTTTTAAGAAAAATGTATACAAATAATTTCATTTCTGAAACAATATTTAACTGAGAACAAAAAAAATTAATTTACTAATATCTCTAACTTTTAAGAAATATTTTGACTTATTGTTATAGTTAAACTAAATTAAACATTGAAAAATAGTTGTGTTTTGAAAATGTATTAGATCAGAAAAATAAAAAATGTATAGTAAAATAAAAAAAATTATAATTGTTATAATAAATTTTTGAATATCAATATATAAATATTAAAATAAATTTATATTTTATTCGCCCGCCCGTAGGGCGGGTTTACCCTAGTAATAATTAAGAGTTGGAAAGAAGTTGATACTACTGGCCAAATGATCTGGTGAGCTGCCTCGTCTTTCTGTTGACAATTTTATTTTTCTTCATTCTATTTTTTCCATTATATAGTCGGTGAGAGAATATTATCAATTCTTTCCACTTTGGAGCTCCTCTAACTCAATAAATAATTCAGCAGGAGTAGGTGGAAATAGTAATTAACCTTACTACGTGAAAGAAAAGTGTAATTTACTAAAAAGAATTATTCATATATGCTAGAAATGGCCATTGCCTTCACATATTCACTTTTGAAGCTTATTGTTGATGATATCACCCACTTCGGCTTTTGCTTTACAGCCGTCATATTTTTTACGAAGATGGTTTTCATTTATAATCCGTACGGCAAGTGGCAAACATATTTTCAATAAAATAGATTTTTTTTTTTGTAACCCACCCAATTACATAGATAACAACAATTTTGCATTTACTAACAATAAATGTTACACAGTTGAAGAAAAAAAGACAATAAATGAATCCTGAAACTGACCGGTGACATATTAATGTCAACAACCAGACGACAAAATTAACAGTTAGGATCGTTGTATGATGAAGAGAAATCGACAAGAAAGAGTTTACTATGCTAAACTTAGTCTATTCCAATCATTTAGCTTGAAAAATATTTTCAACATTTTATCATTAAAAAGAGTCATTTCTCACCCAAATTTTTCTTACCATGTTTGAGGTTGGTTAAGCTGGAGACACCACTCACAATAACTTAATCATTAAATAAAATAATAAAATTTTAGTGATAAATTTCTCAACTATTTCGGAATTGGAAAAACTCACTAGATTAATATTTAATGTTTTAAACATAATTCATAAATCACTAACATATATCATCTTCCATCGAGTATTTTCTTTATTTTGAATGACTACCAATTACAAATTTTAAATAAGGGGTTGAATCACTAAAACCTTCTAACATAATTTATTAAAGTTTGTAAATTTTGATAAAGTTTATAAATCACTACAACTGATAAAAGTTATTAAATTATTTACAAAAATTTATAAAAGTAATTATATAATATATAATAAGTTATAAAAGCACATAAAATCATTTATAAAACCTTATGAATCAGTTAAAATATTATAAAATCAGCTGTAAGAGTTCAAAATAAAATAATGCAGAAATAATATTTATAAACTGTATCACTTCCTCTTGATTTTGGTCGACTGAGAACAAATCACAATGATAAATTTTTTTCTCTGTATGCAAAACAAGATTACCTTCCAAAAATATTCAATCAAATGAATCGAAGGTTGAATGTTCTCCATATAGTTATACTACTAGCTCCGTCAACTAAAAGCTATAAGGTTAGTCTCTTTGAAAAGAAATCAAGATCTCGAACATCCCTTCTCAATTGATTAGGGTTGATTTGTTTTGTTAATCTTTTTTTTTTCCCATCAGATCAGGAATATACATTCAAATCGTACATAGCTCTCGTAGAGTATGTAAATCGGCCGTGAGACTATGTGAATATCATTTTGCAAGAATGGATAATCGAAAGCGAAATGGAAAAACATGATTTCATTTCTAGCAAATCTACGATGAGAAGGGTAATCTTTAAAACTAATGTCTTATGTTTCACTTTAATCTTTTAACATTTGATCGGTTCTGATTGTCAATAATCTCGAAAACCATTCTCTAGACATGGCATCGTATTTTTCGTAAATAAATATCGTATAAATAAATAAAATTGCTGGTGGAGAAGTTCGTAAAATGCAACTGGATTTTACAAAGAAAATGAGTCGGCTTAAACAACCAAACCAAAATGATTTTTACTTGACGATGTATGTAGTATGATTTAGTAGTCGTTATATGTGATCATAACCGATTGTGTAATGGTAAATAGTTATATTTCAGAGAGTTTCATATTAAAGAGAAATATTGAAGATTCTGGGAACAATTTCATTGTTCAACCGCTTCTGTCATCTTCTAATCAGATTAGCACGAACTATATTGCCTCTTTTGTTTTGGCTATTAAAACACAAACCAGAAAAGTATCTCAATACTGCAAAATGATCATATGGAATGTAAAAAGTAGATAGAATATCACATAAGCTTATGTTAAAAAACCAACAAATACTGGAAATCAATATCAAAATCTGAACCATAAATTTTAAAACGAAAATGCGATAAAATGAAAGACCATATGTCCTCCTTCTCAAGTCATCACTAGAATCCTGCAAAGAATGATCAGATTTATTCAACACACATTTCACATCTTATAATGATATGAATAAACTTGTGCTTTCTTAAAATAGAAACGTTCTTACAGCTCCCTAAAAGCTTCAATCTCTAGAAGGTTAGGTTCTAATTCAATCTTCGAATATCCTTTAATGTTCTTAATAGATGTCAATCGCCCTAATGAAAACAAAATATTTATTATAAGAACGTTTAAGTTAAGTAGATATTAAACTTATAAAATATAAATATTTTCTATCTTGACCCCTTTCGATTTGCCAAAAATTCATAACACATAAAACAACATTTGCTCTTGTAGAATTCCAATAAACATCTATCTCAAGAGTATTACTTCCATATACAACACATTTTAGATATTTATATCTGTGATGTTTTGAGTTCTATAATTAAAAATATAGTACACATATAAGTAAACAAAAATACTGGATTAAAGAAACCGTTTTACTCACCCCGGATTTACTAACCTAAAAACCATTTTTGGTTTCATTGACCCTTCAGACTGTCCAACTTGTTCAAGTTCACCCACACAAATCATAGCTCCATAGACGTCTATTAGATTTAGTTAAAGAGCACGTGATTTAAGGATAATCTAATGAAAAATATACATATTCATATGAATGTCTCATAAAAATAATTTGCAAAAGAAAATTTAACTGTACTCTTTAATATAACATTCCTACACACTACATATGATGAGCAAGGTCTTTCCGTATGGTTTTAAATTTCTTAAAACTATAATAGTTGCATTGTGTCTTTGTTGGAACCTTTTTAATAACTGTATTTTCTTCCGTGATAACATGAAATCGGTTATTGGTCGTTTACAATTTCTTGAAATTGTGAATGAGTTTGAAAATAAAAATTTCATTCCATTTACCTTCATCTATAATGGTTCGATTTGATCTTATAATGTCATCTACAACCGTTCCTTGAATGGTGTCCATGTATGAAAACATAAATTAAGCAGTTATAAAAATGTCTATGAATTAAATTCTTTAATTTCAACATTAATATTGATCTTACTTTTTCATCACCAAAGAGAATCTCTGTTTCTCCACGATTTCGTACATAATCATCTTTCCATTTAATGATAAACTTCACTTTTACTGCATAATTTTTAAGGGAAAACTTAAAATTAGAGAAAAACATTAAATAATTTATCACGAAATTGTAAGTTGAAAGAGTATTTTCTTCTTGCTTTTATTTATCTTAATTAAACAATTATAATTATTAAAACATAAATAAACTTCAATCATTTTTTTTGAAGGAAAAATAAATAAAAACTATATTTTTTTATTAAATGAAAGAGAAATCATTGTAAAATTATTTTAAAAGCAACTTGTAAGAATCAGACTTTAATTGTATGTTTGATACTTTTATTTATTATTTTATAATTCTGATAATGAAAATACTATGTTTGTTTATAAACAAATGAAGCTTCGTTTTCCTTCTTCATTTGATAAAATGAAAACTATTATAAATATATTTCTGCATTATTTTATTTTGTCAAATTGAGAAAAATCCGTATGATGTATATCTATATACTCGCAAGTATCTCGCTGTATCTAAACGATCAGATATTTTAGGATTAGATCAACTTATCAAAGACTATCTATATGTAATTACGGTTAAGATCCCACTACTTTCTTTGATATTAAAAACGTTTAGCTAGAAAGTTAGAAACAAAAACAAATTTGAAAAAATAGAACAAAATAATAATCATCAAACGAACACGTAATTAAAGTACAGTTTTGAGAGCTACGAACTTAACGGATACGTTAAACAAAAGAGAAAGCAAACAAAGATATAAAAAGAGTGACAAGAAGAGGACAGAGAGAAGAGACCACCTTGCAAAAACTCAATCCACCCCACCACACACGTTCGCCATTACAAAAAAGCTTTCGCTTAGATTCAATCCCAATCAGTAAAAATAGGTTCAATCCAAGAACTCCACCGGAACTCCACAGAGGAACTGCATCACTCGCGTTCCTGCTGTGGCTTGAGGAAGAAGAAGAACAGTAACAACAACCACAAGGAAGAAGAAGAAGAAGAGAAACCGAAGATGCAGACGATGGATCCTCCTGCTCAGCCGCAGAACCAGCAGATGGTGAGCTTCAGCTTTAGCAGTCAGATGTCTAGAGAAGACGAGGAGATGGCTCGTTCTGCTCTCTCTGCGTTTAGGGCTAAAGAGGATGAGATCGAGAAGAGGAAAATGGAGGTTCGTGAACGAGTCAAGACTCAAATGAGTCGGGTCGAGGAAGAAACCCGACGTCTCGCCAACATCCGCGAGGTTTGCTTGATTCTTGCTTTTTTTAAAGAAAAAAACAGAGCAACGAAGCTCTGTTTCGACTCTGTTTCGACTCTGTTTCTAACTCTGATTTTGGTATAGACTCTGTTTTATTAAGTTAACTAACTCGTAACTGACTTGTCATTGGGTCGTTACAATCAAGATCTTATCTTTTGTAAGCAAATGGGTTTGCATGTACTCAATTTGTTGAACAAATAACTAGTTTTATTGATAAATAAATGGGTTTTGAAAGTCAAAAGCTAAGCTTAAATTTTCAAATCCATATGCCACCCTATGGTCTGAACATGAACATTTGCTTCTCATTCTTGTTGGTTCTTCATAAGTCAAAATTTTGATTTTGTGGAAATGATGATTGTTTCAGGAGCTTGAGTCTATGGCAGATCCAATGAGGAAGGAAGTTGCTTGGGTGCGCAAGAAGATTGATAGCGTCAACAAAGAACTCAAACCATTAGGTGCAACTGTTCAAAAGAAGGTACAATATACTTTACAACAGTAGCTAATAATAAACATGTCTTATTATTACAAAAAAAATAAGGTTTTAGTCTTTACCAAACCCAAACTCAAAAAATGACATTCTTAAATGTCAACTCATGTTTTTTGGATGACATGAAACAGGAAAGAGAGTACAAAGAAGCATTGGATACATTCAATGAGAAGAATCGTGAGAAAGTTCAGCTTCTCACCAAGCTAATGGAGGTTAGTTTCGAATTCTCAGTTCTAACTGGTGTTGGCTTAGTTTGTTTGTTTTCTAAATTTCTCCCCTGGTGAGATGGAACAGTTGGTTGGAGAAAGCGAGAAGCTGAGATTGAAGAAGCTTGAGGAGCTTAGCATGAGCATGCAAACTGAGTGATTCCCTATCTCAAAGACCAACTAGTCAGGAACTAACTGGGCTTATTAGGGTTGTGTTATGGTTCTAGTTATTTTCATGATGTTTTTGTGGGTGTTTATGCTTTTGATTAACCATATTAGGGAAGGCACATGTAATGTGAGGTAACGCTGAATGTTAAAGGTCTTGTAAGTTTGAATAATTTTTTTTTTTGTTCTTTTTAAAATTTTTATTTTTCTGAATTTTAGCTTTATTTTAATTCTTTTCGCCCTCCAACTATTTTCTTAGTTTTTTTTCACTTTTATGGAAAAGTAGTCACTGGCCACGAGGGAGTGCTTTTGAAGATAAACAAACTGAGTTCCTGTCAAAGTTCTATGATGATCTTGCTTGACAGACAATAGAAGCAATGTGGGTTTGAACATTTCCCAATTATTAATTTACAAACTCAAACTCCCATCATATTAAATTAACATCACTTATTGATCTTTAGTAGAACACACAGCTAAATCTTCATCAACTACAAAACAATGTGCTAATCTACGTACACTGCCAAACTATTTGGTCACTACAGTTAGTTTCATATATATATGTGAGATTTTGACGCTTTCAATGGAGAATGCTTTCAGTGAAAATTTTGTTTGTTGATTTTCTAGGTAAAGGGATGATGATTTCATGTGCTTTTTCTCTCAAAATTCAAAAGATAAGTGTATTTTTCCCTGGTTTCTTATTCTTCCTTGATGTCTTTTGGTAACAGGAGCAATAGCCAATAGTTATCATACGCTTCTAAACCATTCAAGAACGTGTTCGCAGATGAAAGTATGAGCAAAAAAAGGTAAACAAGGGTTTTTTATTTGGGCAGTTTTTCAAACACTCATCATTCTAGAAGAGAACACCCAACGAAAATCAAAACACAAATCTTAGAAAGCCGATAATGTCAAGCAAAAAGTAAAACAAACCCATAGAAATATATCAAAGGGTTTTGAAGAGGACGTCACAACAGAAACCATTGACAGACGATTCTCAGTACTTGTAGTCCTTCACGTGAAGACTCTCAGCGGCACCATCACCAAGCTTAGCATCACCCTTGTACGTTCCGAGTGTAGCTTCAGAGTTAGCCTTGCACCTCACATACAACGCCTCTTGAGCAGCCTTAACATTCTCCTCTTTGCCTTGCCATGTCTTCAAAGTGCTCTGTTGCAACGCACGTCCGAACGAGAAAGACAACGACCACGGCTTCTTGGTCTGCAACTTGTTCATCGCGTTCAAGTTCTTGGTCGCCTCCTCTTCGCTCTGTCCACCAGACAAGAAAACAATAGCTGGAACAGCTGCTGGTACAGTTCTCTGAAGAGCACGAACAGTGTACTCAGCGATAACCTCTGGCGCAACCTTAGCACTGTCGGATCCAGGCGTAACCATGTTAGGCTTCAACAAAGTTCCCTCAAGCAAAACGTGGTGGTCGCTAAGAGCCTTGTAGCAAGCCGCAAGGACACGCTCGGTGACAGCAGCACACTTGTGGATGTCGTGGGATCCGTCTACAAGAATCTCAGGCTCAACGATTGGTACAAGACCGTTCTCCTGGCAGATAACAGCGTATCTAGCCAACCCGTAGGCGTTCTCGTGGATGGAATGCTCTGATGGCTCGTTCTCGCCAATCTTGAGAACCACACGCCACTTGGCGAAACGTGCACCAGCTTCGTAGTACTTCTTGCAACGCTCACCGAGACCGTCGAGACCTTGAGTGGTGGTCTCACCGTTGGTTCCGGCTAGCTCGACGGTACCCTTGTCGACTTTGATACCTGGGAGGACTCCTGCTTCCTTCAAGATATCAACGAAAAGCTTGCCTGTGTACAAAGAAAAAAACAATAAGAAACCTCTACAAACAGACACACACATAAACAGAGACTAACTGAGATATATAGTTAAAAGGACTTAATTGTAATTAGTAAACTCTGTAATCTCTATATATTCTGTAAATGTTCACAAATCACAATCAAGATTACAGAGTTTACTAATTACAATTAAGTACTCTGAATTTACTAATTACAATTAAGTACTCTGAATTTACTAATTACAATTAAGTACTCTGATTTTACTAATTACAATTAAGTCCTCTGATTTTACTAATTACAATTAAGTCCTCTGATTTTATTACTAAGTCTTCTGAGTTTACTAATTACATTTGTCCTCTGAGTTTACTAATTACAATTAAGTCCACTGAGTTTACTAATTAGAATTAAGTCCTCTGAGTTTACTAATTACAATTAAATACTCTAACTATATTATCTTTACAGCAATGAATTGGATTCGTACCAGTGGAGCTCTTTTGGTAAAGAGTCTCTTCGAAGAGGATGACACCGCTGAGGCAAGGGAGAGCACCAGGCGCGGTGAAGAGAAGCTCACGAAGAGCGCGTCTGTTGTTCTCAACGTTCTCGACGTTGATGCTCGCGAGACGCTTTCCGATGGTACCGGTGGACTCGTCGGCGGCGAGAATACCTTTTCCAGGTGTGCCGATGTAGGCAGCGTTAGTGATCAACTCATCTGCAAAAGATTCAAAACAGAAAATCACATAAACAATAAATAAATCTACAAAACTTCAGATCGCGAATACAATTGATCAGATCCGATGATTTAGAGTGAAGACAGATCGATCAGTACCCAACTTATGAACAAATGAATCAGATCTAAGCAAGTTTTCATTCATCGTAATCATCAACTCATGAATCAAGCTAAGGTGAAGCATCTAATCCAGATCTAGACGGTTAAACAGGCGAACACTATTCACAGTACAGATCTAAGGATTATACGAAACTACGCTAGTGAATCGGCGTAACGTCGATGACGTAAGCAGATTCGAGTGAGGAAATATAGAGAGTTTGTTACCGGCGAATTTGCTGGTGAAGGCAGACATGGTTAATTGACGGAAAGATCGAGAAAGTTTTTTTGAGAAAGATGCGGAGACGAGAGAGAGAGATGGAAGCAAGTGGAGGTGACGGTTTGGTATTTATAGATGCGGAGGAGAGTCTATTGGTTGGTGAAAAAGTAAAATTTTTAAGGGTTTAGATCTGTGAAATGTTCTCCAAGAAATGGATTTTCAGCCGTTGGATCTGATCTCACGTGGTTTTATTTGGCAGTTTCTGGGTAATCTCGGTTTTACCCCTAATTAATGTGAATCATAGAGGAGTAGTAGTTGAAGGGTAGTTTTCGGAAGAGCACGACTTTGGGCGGACAACGGCTCAAACCTCCTCCGGCACAACTTTCAAGCGAATTACTATATATAACTACTAATTAAATCAATTTTCACTTAGAAAGTTTTAACTACGAAATTCCATAGAATAATTCTTCTTAACATTATTTTGTTTATTAGGTTCACAGAAAAATGCGACTTAATATACTCCAACATAGAAAATTATGATATTGTGTGTACTGCGACTCTTCAAACCCATGATCATCAAACTTATCTCAGTCTTTTGCTTTCTACCAACAAGACGTTAGAGTAATAAAATTTCTAAGATTTAACAGATGTTATTTAATGCCAACAAAACTGAAAATGATCATAAAATTTAAAGAAATTTTAAGCTATTTAATGATAAGATTAAAGAAACAGATGTTAAAATATGAAGGCTTTAACTGGTGACCAAAGGAATGTGTGGGAATAGTTAATTCTTCTTTATTCCTTAAATTTTACACCATTTATAAGGAATCATAATAGTTAATTCCTCTTCATTCCTTAAATTTGACACCATTTATAAGGAATAAAAGGAAACAAAATATCATATTGCGTATGATGGGGATAAAGTCAATCTTTATCTGTTTTGTTATTTGTTACTTTTCCTTGTTACACAAAAATGTTATACTTATTTCAAGCTCAATTAAACTTACCAAATGCATTTATTTTTATAAATAATCCTATATATATCAAATATTATTTAGTTAAGTAAGTGTAATAAACAAGATCATATATATATATATATAACTTTAAAAAAAAATTGTGAAAATATCAAAATAACACTCTTTACCAAACTTATAAAATATTAAGCATCCGAAACTCAAAATAGTTGCCTAAAATGGTTTTACCCGAAAGTTATGATCGTCTTACAATGGGAAAAAGACCTATTCCTACCCAAACAATTTCAATCGTGCCAAATACAACCCGAACAAATATTCAGTGCCAAATACAACCTAAACTATGTTATAATTCACAAATACTACCTGAACTTTTTAAAACGTGTCTAAACCTACATTGACCGTAACAGAAGTTAGTCAACCGTTAAAATGATAAAACGACGTCGGGTCTATTCCTACCCAAACAAATTCAATCGTGCCAAATACAACCCGAACAAATATCCAGTGCCAAATACGACCTGAACTACGTTATAATTCAAAAATACTACCTGAACTTTTTAAAACGTGCCTAAACCTACATTGACCGTAACAGAAGTTAGTCAACCGTTAAAATTGATAAAACGATGTCGTTTCGATTTCATTATTTTTTCAAAAAATATGAAGATTCCGGGATTTGAGCTCGGGCCTTGCCACTATTTAAAACAGACATATAAACCACTAGACTAAAGCAATTTCTTTAAATATTACTACAAATTTGCAATTATATATGCTTTTATACTTTTTCATCTTCTCTAATTAAAACTTTGCTTATTATTATTTTTGACTCTTATTAATATATTAACATATTTAATAAACTTATAAATACTAATTTCTTTTGTTTCTTAAAATTAATATAAGCTGAATATACTTTACCAAAATAAAATAAATTACCATTAAGTTTTATTTTTAAAATAATTTATATATGGACATTTTGTAAATAGTTGAAAAACATGAAATATATTTAATTTTGTATGATTNCTTTACCAAAATAAAATAAATTACCATTAAGTTTTATTTTTAAAATAATTTATATATGGACATTTTGTAAATAGTTGAAAAACATGAAATATATTTAATTTTGTATGATTATAAATATTTTATTATTTATATTTTAGTATAATATAAGTTTATTGAAGATATAATAATTACAAAATATGTTAATATATTTATAAGAATCAGAAATAATAATAACAAAAGTTTTAATTAGAGAAGATTAAAAAGTATAGTAGCATATATAATTGCAAAACTGTAATATTTTAAAAAAAACTGCTTTAGTCTAGTGGTTAATGTGTATGTTTTAA